CCTGATGTGCCCGCTGCCCGCCTCTGTGTCACCCACCCGGACAGCCCCTGAGGCTGCGTCTCACACACAGTTTCAAGCCCAGTGCAGTCTCCAGAGTTGGCCCTGTGGCCTGAGAAGGGGTTCCTGGCTGAGGGAGCCCCAGGAAATCACCTTCCTGGAGCCACGAACCTCCCTCAGCGCCTGGCCAGCACTGGTGCTGCTGCGAGGCGGGTGAAGGTGGGAGTGGGCGTCCTCAGCAAGCTGGCTGTGGCAGAGAATGCCAGTGTCTCAGTGCCACTGCTCTTGCATGTCCAAACTGAAACACTGCCAGCAGACCGTGCATAACCGAAATGACTTGGTGCACTTTATCAGAAAGGGCAGAGCAGATTGCAAATTAGGGTGTAATTACACATTGCTAACTGGGGAATCAGCCCCTGAGCACCGGTGAAATCACAGAAGGTCTGCTTGGGTCTGGAGTGGCTTCTCTTTGGCTGGCAGAAGAAGCAGAGCATGTGGAAAGGTTGGGTAGGTGGTCTGGTGGGGTTAGGAGGGAGGTATCTGTGGTGGGCACGTGGTCTGGTGGGATTAGGAGGTGTCTGTGGTGGGCACGTGGTCTGGTGGGGTTAGGAGGTATCTATGGTGAGCACGTGGTCTGGTGGGGTTAGGAGGTGTCCGTGGCGGGCGGGTGGTCTGGTGGGGTTAGGAGGGAGGTGTCCGTGGCGGGCGGGTGGTCTGGTGGGGTTAGGAGGGGAGGCGTTCATGGTGAACAGGTGGCCCAGCCTACCCCAAACCTCCCCACTTTAGCCACATTTCCACTTAAGGGATGCACAAACAACCCCACAGTGGGCTGTGCTCACATCCGAGCAGGTGCCCGGGGACCCGGGATCACTGGATTATCCAGCAGCACCTGCGTCCTGGGTCCCAGGCAGACATCGCTGTATGCAGAGGCTCTGGCAGGAAACTAAAGACCCGAAGGGCTGAAGAGAGGTCAGAAGGGAGTTCCGGAAAGTAGGAATCTGGGCCGTGAGATCGGGGTGTAGAGGAGGCAGGTTGGTCGTTCAGGCTGTTGGCTCCTGTCATGTGTACAGAGGGTCAGCTCCAGGTACATTATATTCACCCTTACTCCTTTTCTTCTAGCATTTCTTTATATTTCTTACTGAATGTCTCTCTCTCAGCCTTTTTTTCTTCTCACCCATATTGTTAAAAACGGTAGATCCGAGAAGCTTCTGTCTGAACATACAACCCCCATGCACAGTGGCTCTGGGCAGGCCCGTGTTTCTTTGCAGAAGGGGCCGTGGCAGATGCCTGGGACCGTGGCTTTCACCTCGTGCCCCACGTTACTGCCTGATGAGGCTGCTCTGTGTACAGAGGTGCAGGATGTGGCAGTACGGTGGCCTGGGCCCTTCGTGCAAACCTCGTGACTGATGGTGGCACCCCCTTTCCGCTGGGGTGTGAGGCTCTGTCGTGGTGGCTGGTGGAGCCAGCAGAGCACAGGAGTGACCTGTCCCAGCAAGGACCCTGAGCTTGAGCCTGAGCGGCCCCCCGGGCAGAAGTGTGGGGCACACGTTGCTGCGTTTTGCTGCTGGAGGAAGGAGCAGGCTCCATTGGGTCCTCCCCACCCCAGTCTCCCAGGACAGGAGAACTCTGGAGACCGCACCTGGAGTCTCGGGCTCTGCAAAGTCTTTCCCTCGCTGGCCCTGTGGTGTATCCTTCTGCGAAGACAAACCACACCCAAGAACGCCGTTGCCACTGAGTCCCGAGCCCTTCCAGCTCCTCCCTGAGTGTGGGAGGCCGTGGGGCCTGAGACCCCAGGACGGGCGACGTGCTGCCCACCCACACATCAGAACAAGGTGGAACTGACTGCTTTCCGTCGACACGTCCAGCCCAGGTAAGCACGGAGGTCCTTCACAAGAGGCCGATTTGACATGTATTTACCACCTCCCTGCCATTTGTCTCCTTCTGGTTTCAACATTTCAGCAGGAGGGGCTGGATGTCAGTCCCCGAGAATACGGAGCAGGAGGGACGCGTCTGTCATTGTCACTGAGGGGAGGAGGGGGCAGGGGGTAGTCGCTCTGCAGTAGGGGGTGGGCGCTGCGCAGAGGGTCAGGGGTCTCACCTAAGAGGGGACTGAGGTGCTGGGAGGAGGCTGGAGGGACTGGCCCTCAGTGCCCAAGGGGCAGGAGAGGCCAGGGAGGGCAGACAGGAGGGCTCCCAGCCAGAGCTGAGCAGTGTCCGTGCCCTTCCCCCCCAGACGTCAAGGTTCTTGGAACTCAGAAATACATTTCTGTTGGCTCTGACAATGTGCGGGCCACTTAGAGTTCTGGGAATGGGGCAGGGCCACTGGGACGAGCCTCTCTGATAGGGAGGCTTCCGGAAGGAGGGTGGGGAGGTGAGCAGCGACTCTGGGCCAGGACCAGGAGAGCAGACTGTGAGTCCCTCCAGGGTGTGGGGAAAGGCCCTGCTCAGGCCTGCTGGTCTCCCTGAGGAGGTGCAGCCCAGTCCCCCAGCACAGTCCCCAGCAGCCCCAGGCCCGGTCCTCCAGCACGGTCCCCAGCAGCCCCAGGCCCGGTCCCCCAGCACGGTCCCCAGCAGCCCCAGGCCGGGTACCCAGCAGCCCCAGGCCCAGTGTCCCAGCAATGTCCCCCCAGCAGCCCCAGGCCGGGTCCCCAGCAATGTCCCCACCAGCCCCAGGCCCAGTGTCCCAGCAACGTCCCCAGCAGCCCCAGGCCCGGTGTCCCAGCAACGTCCCCAGCAGCCCCAGGCCGGGTCTCCCAGCACGGTACCCAGTAGCCCCAGGCCTGGTCCCCCAGCACGGTCCCCAGCAGCCCCAGGCCCGGTGTCCCAGCAATGTCCCCAGCAGCCCCAGGCCTGGTCTCCAGCAACGTCCCCAGCAGCCCCAGGCCTGGTCCTGCAGCACGGTCCCCAGCAGCCGCAGGCCTGGTCCCCAGCAATGTCCCCAGCAGCCCCAGGCCCGGTCTGTCAGCACAGTCCCCAGCAGCCCCAGGCCTGGCTGTGGAGAGGGGCAGGCCCTCGGTGAAGCCCAGGCCAATGCTGCCACCACCCACGAGTCTGCACCCGCTGCAGGGGGCACAGGCCGTGCCCTGGCTAGGCACGCAGGACAAGGCTGGGGAGACAGAGAGACTAGGGAACATCCTGGAACATGGCACCAGGGGGACAGCCCCTGCCCCACAATGTCAAGACCTTCCTGTACACAGGAAGGGGCCCAGCGGAGAGGGGTGGAGGATGTTTGTCCCCAGGCAGCCGCAGGAGAAACAGCAGTCGCCTCGGTGACGTGGCCTAAGCAGGGCCTTGCTGTGGCTGGGTCCGCTGGTCATTGCTGAGCCCCAGGCCCGTGGCCCCACAGCACCTGGACAGATGCGCGGCTCTGTGGCGCCATTGACAGACACAGACGGAAGAGCACCTGGTGGACCGTGGCTGCCAGCCTGGCCTTCAAAACCAGGCGGCTTCCGTCAATTACAGATGAGGAAATGCGTTTTGAGAGTAATTTATAACACCAGGGGACTGGGCCTCCCTGGCAGGATAATGAAACCCGCCTCTCCAGCCCCTACACGCAGCAGAGGCACCCCCCGCCTGGTTGCTAAGCAGCTACACGTCTGCGTGGATCTGAAACTGTGTCGGAAAACACTGCAGGTGGAAGGGAGCCCCGTTTACGGAAGCAGCACAGACGTGGCCATGTCTGCCTTGAAGCGAATTCTTGAGACGGGTTTGGACGAGGCATTGCTGGATAGTCCTTCCGAAGAAGCAGGCATCCGTGTGCCAGCTCCGGGCCACGCCTCACGAGCAACCGAACAAGTGTCCTTCAGGACCCCCTGGGACCCCCGGGCGCAGAGCACCCTCTGGGATGCTGCCTCACACGGGGGGCTGCTCTGGGAATACCACAAGTGCCCAAGGCAGCCATTTGGGGAGCCTCAGGGGACCCTGGGGGACGGGCCAGTGAGCACCCAAGTCCTCGAGGCCACGCTCCGAGCCTGGCTTTTGCCGGCTGTGTGTTTGGGATTCAGTCTCCATTCAGAAAAGGAAGGGTCAAAGGTGCTGGAACTGCCCAGCGAGCTCTGCAGCCAGGTCTTGGCTGCAGACAGGCCCCGTATGAAGCAGCTGCCGGTGCTCCCTGACCTGGCTTTTTCCTGCTGGCGCAGAGGAATCCCTGCCACCTTCCAGATGTGGACGCCCGTGTTTCCCCGGCTCTGGACTGAGGAAGGGAGGGAGGCCCCCACCGGCACCCCGTGGGCTGTTTCCACCCCACAGGCAGGCCCATGGTTCCCTCCAAGGCTGAGGTGAATTCCTGGCTGGAGGAAGAATGGGGACCCTGAGCTGGTGCAGGCCTCGGGGTGGACGGGGGGAGTTTCCCAGCACCCGGGCCTCACACAGCAGAGATGGGGAGGTGCTGGGAACCGGGGACCACACCTGCCTCCTGTTCTGAAGGGCCCAGGCCAGGGCCACCTTGAAACTCGTGCACGAGTGTGTGAGGTTTCCACCCACCAACTGTCAGCTGCCTGATGTTACGGAGACCACAAGGCCGAAGCTGAAGCCGAAGCCACCCCGAGCCCATTTTCCCGGTGTGGCTGCCCTGGGGGGCACAGAGGGATTCGGGCCATCATGTCTGCAGCAGGGGAGGCTTATCCAGCCCCCAACACACGCCAGCCGGACCCTAGCCGCAGATGTGGAAGGCAGAGCACTGCCTGCCTCAGACAGCCCACCCCACCAGGACCCTCTGCCCTTAGGCCCCTCTGGCCCATCCCAAGCAACAGACACCCCTCCCCCCACCACCCTGTCTCACCCCCAGCGAACGATGCCCCTCCCCCCCGGCACAGCCCCACCCCCAGATCCTTTGCATGCTTTCCACCCTCCCTGGAAACACGAACTCATGCCCAGGCCTCCCCCATGGACCGGATCGTCCTCAGGCCCCTAGTGGCCTAGGAGGAGGCTTGCCAAGACCCAGAAGGTGTCTGCGGCGTCCAGGGCCCGGGTGGCAGGGCCTGGCGCCCACGCGCACCCCGTACCTGAGCAGGGGCTGCCTGGGGTATGGCGGCTGGTCTGCGTCCAGGCATGGAGGGGCCTTCTTGGTCACCTGCTTGTAGATGTTCCTGGCGGTCACTCCGATCCACAGCATGGTGGAGAGTGTGGAGTAGTGCAGCACGATGCCCACCTGTCGGAAGCAGCAATCAGCCGGGCAGCCGGGCCCTCACGCACTCGCCCCAGAGCCTGCAGCCCCGGCCCAGCCTTGCATCTTCCAGAGGCTGCTCTCAGTGTCAAGAATGACAGCAACAGGTGGCCACAGGGAGACACTGGGACAGGAGCGTCTATGTCCCAGGGCAGACGGTGGCCGCGGAGCACGTGGCCTTGCCACGGAGTGTGCGGGCGTGGCCTTGCCGAGGAGTGTGGGGGCCGTGGAGTGTGGGGGCGTGTCTGTGGAGTGTGGGGCGTGGCCGCAGAGTGTGGAGGTGTGGCCTGGCCTGAGTGTGGGGGCATGGCCACAGGGTGTGGAGGCGTGGCCTGGCCGTGGAATGTGGGGGCATGGCCTTGCCGCAGAGTGTGGGGGCGTGGCCTGGCCTCAGTGTGGGGGCCGTGGAGTGTGGGGCGTGGCCGCGGAGTGTGGAGGCGTGGCCTGGCTGCGGTGTGGGGCGTGGCCTGGCCGCGGAATGTGGGGGCGTGTCCCGTCACAGCGCCCAGGCCTCACGCAGCCTGGCGGAGACAGGGAGGCCTGGGAACCACGGGCCACCGCATGGAGGAGTGGGGAAGAGGTAACTTCCACAGCCTGGCCTCGGGCTCTTTCTTTTCAGGAAGCAGCCGTGGGGCTGTAATTGTCACCGCCCCGGGAGCTGAGGAGGGCAGGGAGGACGGCAGAGCTGGCCCTGCCCCTTGTCTGTCTGGGCTGAGCCTCACCCAGGCTATGTGCATTTGGGGATCACAGGGAGGTGTGAACGGCGGAGCTCTGGCTCCCAGACACCAACTCCAGGCTGGACAAGTGGAGAAGCTGCAGGGAAGCTCCTGGTCTCCCACAGTGTTTCATTCCGCCCGTTCCTGGGGCTCATGGCCAGCTCTTTGTTGCCATAGCGACCATCGTCCTTTCCAGCCATCCATAGCCTGGGACCAGGATTCACTCAGTGCTGAGCTGTGGCCCTTGGTAGGGCAGGCAGGCAGGAAGGTGGGTGGGACAAGGGCGGGGTGGGGGTGGGCAGGTGGGAAGGTCGCTGGAGGAGTGTTGTGCCCGGGCAGACAGGTGGGAAGGCTGCGGAAGGAGTGCTGTGCCCCGGTGGGCAGGAGGAAGCGGCTCCAGGAGTGCTGTGCTCAGGCGCCAATGGCACACGCAGGTCAGGGTCCAAGTCTAGTTGTTACTAGACCCCTCAGGTGTCCTTCCTCCGGCTGGTAGTGGCTGAATTCTCCTCCTTACCCGGAGGCTGCGAATGTGAGACCCACCTGGCCTCAGTGTTAGAACAGTGAGAGAGAGTTTCTTCCTGTCGCACAGCACAGGAGGGCAGGGGGGTTGGTCAGCAGGAGCTCGAGAACATCACCTCATGGCTTCCTGACTGGCACTGGAGCTGCAGCCACCTTGTCCCCTGCCTCCGCTTCCCAAGCCCAGCGTCCCTCATCTGGTGGACACCTCCTACTTCCTGCTGCCCCTAGGGTTCATTTTCCACACATGTTTCCTGTCCTTCAATGCTGCTCCACAGTGAGACCACATGGGTTTGTCTCTGGTAGTGTCCCAGTGTCCAAGCATGGCCTGGCTCCTCTCGGGCACTACGCACATTTGCTGAGTGAGTGAGTGAATGAGTGAGTGAGTGACTGAGTGAATGAATGAGTGACTGAGTGAATGAGTGACTGAGTGACTGAGTGACTGAGTGAGTGAATGAGTGACTGAGTGAATGACTTAGTCAGTGAGTGAGTGAATGAGTTAGTGAGTGAATGAGTGAGTGAATGAGTGAGTGACTGAGTGACTTGAGTGACTGAGTGAATGAGTGAGTGAATGAGTGACTAAGCGAATGAGTGAA